AGCATTGCCGGGGAAAGCTCTTCGGAGAGTGGTTCACTCTCTTCAACTTCAAGGTCCCCGGAGCGACTGTAGACCTGAAGTACCTCATGAACCCGGAATACATCCTTGACATACTGCCGGAGCCCATCCGTGACCTTGCCAGTGCCCCTCTCGCTGCGATCAAGGCACAGATGGCCCTCGCGAAAGGCCTCGTAGGCTGCATCAAGCGGGACTCTTCGGGTATACTCGAGTGCCTCGGCAGCAAGATCATCGAGATGGTGCCCCCGTTCAACTACCTGACCAAGATGGGAGACATCCTCACCGAGGTCATCGAGGTTTTTGCCAAGGTGGCCTCCACGGTTGTGCAGAAGGCCATGGAACAGGGCCCCTCCCTGGTACAAACGGCTGCCACGGCCAAACTCCCTGCTGCTGGAGAGCCCCCTTTGCAGCACCACAAGAGCACCAACCTCATCGTCGAGTCGCACACGAGGCACGCCCCGCCAGGCAGCTTCCTTCATCGCGAACTGGCTGCTGTGCAGACGAATACGACTCGAAATGTGGATTCTGGGGGTGATGACCCGGATGGCGCCATTACCTACAACATGGGCAGTGGAGGGGACGTTCAGGCCACGCAGCTCTTCACCCAGTTCGACGGCAGGGAGACGGACACCAGCTCTTGCTTGGCTTTTGCTCCGAAGAACCGGAAGGGTTCCGGAGCGAGCAAAACTGACTGGCAGGTCCGCACCCAGGACGATTTCCTAAAACTGGAACCATGGGCGGTCCCGTGTGACAATGCTTGGATGAAGGACAACATCAACAAGTGGCAGGGCTACTCCTTCTACTTCGGGCAGAAGGCTATCGAGAAGTGCGTGACGGTGACCTTCAGTTTGGGAATGCAGCCTGTCGTAGCCTTTGTGGGCGGCTTGCAGTTCGAGGTCCTGCCGAAGCCCCTTTTCGAGTTGGCCACGACAGTCTGCTGGCCGAACAAGCAGCCAGGAGGTGTGGACCTGAGCGTGCTCCGCTCCGAGATCAAGTCCGCAGGCATCTTGCTCTTCAGCCGCACCTTGCGCCTTTCCAAGCGCTTCGGCGCCAACACGGACTTCTCCGCTGGGAACATCAAAGGCTCCTACGAGACCTGGCGGAGCCCGGCAGGCATCGCCAAAGGCGAGAGCCGGGCGCCCATGGACGCGCTGAAGCGCTCGTCGCTGCTGCAGGGCAACAGGAGCCACGTGAGCCGCGAGAGCAAAGCAGAGGCCCAGGCTGAGGCTGAGATGGAGCAGCAGGGCCTGCAGTGGAAGGCGGAGACCGAGGACCTCTACCTAGCATCCGTCGACTACGGCGAGCACATGAACACATCCGTGGACAAGACCTTTGAGGCCTATGGCGAGGAGGCGGCCAGGCGCATGGGTGCGAGTTCTGGGCTGGACGACTTCAAGCTCTTCCGCTTCAAGAGCCCCGGGCTCGTGAACTTCGAGATCGAAGGTCTCATGTCTGGTAACACGCTGCAGCTGGGAATGGAGATGACCTTCGGCCCCTACAAGAGTCCACCGAAGAAGATCCCCCTGGTCGACATTGGCAAGCAGTTCGCACTGATCCTGGCCGGCTTGCCTTTTGTGTCGACCAGCAGCAAGGAGACAGCCATAGAGGCACTCAAGGACTTTTCCATGAAAGATGCCGGAAGGACTCAGGGCCTCCCTGTGGCGCTGGGATCCGTCGTGGCACTCTTCAGCCCGCACACCGGCCGCTACCTGAAAATGTCTGGAAGCAAGCTGGAACCCAGTCCTCCCATGTACAAGTGGGGTATCCCGGACCACTGGACGTCGGAGCGCTTCACCGTGGTGGACGCTGGCAATGGCGAGATCGCGCTGCACAACGAAGCCCAGAACCGCTTCATGGGCACGGGGGATGCCAGCCCGCCTCGCGACATCGACGCGCTTCCTAGCAGCTGGTTGGCCCAGGTCTTCACAGTCAGGGAAGAAGGGAATGGGGAGGTGGCTTTGTACAACAGGAGATGGCACAAGAAATGTGTGAGCATGTCGGCGAGCGGCGTGGGAAGCTCAAGCAGTTGTGGGACTGAATCGCGCTTCGTCCTCGTGCCGGCGGAGCGACTCCTTACTCCTGGCACCATGATCGCCCTGCACAGCACGGCGCACAACCGCTTCGTGCGCATGAATGGCCAACATCTGGGTCGAAGCGATGTGAAGGACGCTGCGGATCTCCCAAGCGATTGGGTTTCGGAGCGCTTCACCGTGGTGGATGCGGGACATGGGCAGATCGCACTGCACAATGCCGTCCACAATCGCTTCGTGGGACTCGGCATATCCAGCCCTCATCGCTTTGTGGACCAACTTCCTGGGGACTGGCTCCACGAGCGGTTCGACGTCTACCCTGCTGGACACGGAGAGATCGTCTTGCACAGCCGGAACCTCAACAAGATGCTTCGCATGTCAACCGTGACCATTGACACCTCACCCCCGCTGAGTCCAGCAACTTTGCCAGATGGTTGGACTTGGGAGCGTTTCCGGGTGGTGCGTCTGAAGCCGTACTTGGAGCCCGGCACCATGGTGGCCCTTCGGTGCAAGGCTCACGGCCGCTATGTGACAATGAAAGAGGGCATCCCACTGACTACCTCTGATTCCAGCAATCCCTTCTTCAATCCCGGCCTCGCTGGGCGAATAGTTCGCAGCAATGTGCAGAGTGAAAGTGGCATTCCAGACCGCTGGACCTTCGAGCGCTTCACTGTCGTGGATGCTGGCAATGGCCAGGTGGCTTTCCACAACAGCAGGCACAACAGATTTATAACGATGGCGGACCACCAGCTGATGTGTGTCAGCCTCACCTCCACGGGCGCCGATGCCTATCCTATGGCATGGACTTGGCAACGCTTTACGGTGGTGCCTGTTGGAGGCGGGCAGTTCGCATTCCACAATTCAGCCCATAACCGCTTTATTCGCATGTCAAACTCCGACTTTGTGGATGCCAGCGGCAGCGCGAGCCCTCAGGACTTACAGGTGACTTGGAACTATTTATGGTTCCAGATTCGGCCAGCAAAGCCCTACGTGAAGCCCGGAACTGTCGTCGCCTTACACAACTCCGCGTGGAAACGCTTCATCCTCATGACAGGAGCTGCAGTCACGCGCAGCGCGGCCGCAGGTGTCGACGACCTGTTGTCAAGCTGGGCAGATGCTCTCTTCACCGTGGTGGACGCCGGGTATGGGCAGGTGGCTTTCCACAACAGCAAGTGGAACAGATTCGTGAAGATGAACGGTGCCAGCATGGCAACCAGCCTTGAAAGGGCTGCGGATGAGCTTCCTGCAGACTCGAAGTGGGAACGTTTCGCAGTGGCGCCTGCGCACCAATTCACGAACAACGGAGAGTTCTTCTTCCACAACACTGCCCACAACCGCGTGATTCGCATGTCCAGCTTGAGGATCGACACGAGCCCGCCCAAGCAACCACAGGAAATCCCCGCTTCTTGGACTTGGGAGCGCTTCCGCATCGTGGAGGTGTCCGATCCCAGCACGAAGATTGTGCATGCCGCCACCTTTGACTGAAGTGAGGGCTCGGGGCAGGGCGCCTCTTTGGAGGGCCTCTCCTGGCCTCTTGAAGGTGTAGGGCGGGGGGTAGGCTCGAGTCTTGAAAAGTGACTCTTCCGCTTCCTAGCGGCGCAAGCGCTCGCGCCGTTCAGACCTCGGCCATTTGGCCTCAAACCTGTGATCGTTTTTTTCAAAAGAAGAGCGGATGGAATTCTAAGGGGCCTGCAGCCAGAAGTGGCGTCATGCACGCTGGGGTGCTGGCTGAGCACCAGAAGTTCTGCAGCATGCCTTCCTTTCCCAAGAGCAGGCTGAAGCCGCCAAAGCAGTGGGGCCCCGAGATACAGGGCGATGTGCCGACTGTGGAGGGTTTGGGTTGTCTGGTGCAAACGGTGCTCCGTGCTGAGGGCTGATGCTTTCTCGAAGTGCTTATCGGCAGTCCGCTACTTAGACTTAGCACTTTGACACGACGCTTGACTGTGAAAGCTCGCGGGTGTCGTTGCCCCGTGCCCATTCGGCAAACCCTAAACCTAGGGTTTAGGGTTTAGGGGTTAGGGATTAGGGTTTAGGGCTTAGGGTTTAGGGTTTACTAAACCCATCGGTGTCGGACTCGGACGACGAGCTCGGTTTTGAATGGCCCTGGCGCAGCGAGAGGGCTGCTTCACATGCGTTTGGTTCGTGTGTGGCAGAGCGTGCAGCCGTCCAGAGCACATTTCGGGTGACACGATGGCTTGTGTGCACATATATAATAAATGTGTACATATATGTATGTACATATATGTATACACACATATGTACATATATATATATACACACATGTATCTGTAGAGTTGACTTCAAAGATGGTCCCAAGGCATTGAAGGATGCCGAGACGCAGGCATCGGATGAGGACTCCATTCTCAGTTCGAGCCTTTTCCTGCTTACCATGCGGGAGGTCACCAGCCCCCAACCTCGAATCGTTTGAGAAGGGGCTGCACAGTGTCTATGATGTGGTATCCTGTTTGCCAGATCAGAGCTGCCCTAAGCTAAGCCCGGTTCCTGGGGTACAAGATCCGCGGAAGTGTGCATCTGCAACAACAGCCTGCAGAATCCCAACAGTGAGATGACGACAAGCAACGCTCAAAGGCCCAAGAGGCTGCTCAGATCACTGTGCGATGGCCGTGCCCATTTTCGCGAAGCTGCAGATACCCAAGCATCTGTAGGTGTAGGCTGCAGCTTTGAGCAATGAGAGGGGCTCACTGAGGAACCGTTTTGGACAGTGACCCCCTTAAGCCTGTCAGGACATGCTGGAGCTCGGCAGCGACGATCGGCGCTACTCGCAGCCTCTGTGTGCGGCTCAGGGATGGTTCGAGCCGACGTCGGAGCTGGCAACACGTGTTCCCGTCCCTTACGCCTGTGCATCCGGCGCGTCTCCTTTGTGGCTGAAGCCCAGTGTGAGATTTCATTCAGCCGTGCTAGGGGGGGAATCCCGCCCCTTGAGCTGACGCCATGGACGCCCAGGCCGTGCAGCCGTCGAGCAACGTCGCCTTTCACAAGGGAGAGCGTGTCCTTCTGGACAGAGCTAGTGCAGGCCAGCCCAAACAACTCGAGAACATGAAGCGGAAGTTCCAATCCGCCTTGGAATCCAGCGAGAGGTTGGTTGGCTTGGACATGGAGTGGAAGCCCGACCGTTGCACACAGCGACGCAACGACGTTGCGTTGATTCAGCTTGCCCTCGGTGGCTCTGTCTGGCTGGTGCGAACTTGTGAGATTGATCTCCCCGACTTTGTCCGGCAGCTGCTGATGGACAGCTCTGTTGTGAAGGTCGTTGCTGGTTTCGATTCTTCTGATCGGGACAAGCTGCAAAGATCCTTTGGCATAGAAGTTCCGACGAATCCAGAGCAAGCGGGCTTCGTGGACATAAGCCTGCTGGCCAGGGAGTGCGGTTTTGCCGGTTCCGGAGTCAAGAAGCTTTGTGACCGGTACGGCCTCCCGATAGAGAAGAACCAGAAGGTAAGCTGCTCCAACTGGGCAGCGGCCAGGCTGACAGAGGACCAACTTCAATACGCCTGTGACGATGCCTTCTTCACCTTGCTCTTGGGAGGACGGCTGCTGCAAGAGGAGAAGGTCTCACCTTCGAGGCTTCGCGCCCGTGCTCGGGCGGCCTGTGATCTGGTGCTCCCGGTAGCAAGTCTCAGCGTGGGAACGAAGGACATGGCGGAGCGGCACGCGGAGGTCCGTGCCTTCTTGGAGGAGCTCCACGGGGCCATTTCCCGAGCCTGTGCAGCTCAAGGTGTGCTCAAGATCCCAGTTGCCAAAGTGGGGCAACTTCGAGACAAGGTTGGCATGCCTTTTGCCCAGCGTGCGAGTCTTTTGCTTGTTTCCTTGGGAGTGCGCTTCCTCAAGGAGCAATGCCAGCTCTTTGGCATTAGCAGCTTTAGCAAGCAAGACTTTATCTGGGCACGTTCCGCTGCAGAGAGGGCACCTTTCACGGATGAAGAGAAGTCTCTCGAATGGGCATCATCTCCTGAGCAATCCTTGCAGACATGGCTGAGCTTGCAACCTCGCATGGCCAAGCAAGAGCTTGTGGGTCGTCTCGGCCTCTTGGCCCGAGCTCTCGGAGCGGAAGAGTCGGCCAAGACCCTTGCGGCCCTTGCGGTGCGGAAGCAAGCATGCGAGTTCAGCGCATCTGTGGCAGACTCGCCGGGCCCTCCATGGCGAGGGCAGGACGCTCGGTCCGCCGCAGGACTCCGGCCTTCTGGGAACAGCAAGATCGTGGAATGCCGCTCACGGCCGCAGCGCAAGAAGTCTGGGAACCAGGCAGTGGTGGCCCGTGGCATCCCCAAGCAGTGACCCAAGGAGGATTTCAGAGCAAGGTCGAGAGAGACTTTGGTGCTGTTGACGACCTGCTCATGCCATTGACCAGCTACTGGCTTGCACTAAACCCTAAACCCTAAGCTTACTTGTGCATGCCGTTTGGGGGTGCTTTGCTCGGGAAAGGCGCCAGGCCAGAAGAGACCTTTCCAGGATCAAGCACGTTGTCATATGTTCAACAAAGAGGGGTCCTTGTTTTGAGTTTTTTTAAATGGAAAATCTGAGCAGCTGAGGCAAGGAGCAGCACTTGGGGTTTGGTTTTGTCCACCTCCGGGGTTGTACAGAGCAGATTTTGCCACCCGGAGGCAGTTTTGGATGGCGCCCGCAGAGCTTTCAAAGGATATTGCTCCAAGGGCTCGGCGTGAGCCTTCCTTCGGCCCAGTCTCCATTGACTGAACCAAAATTTTAGTGTTCCTATCTCAGGATACCTGTGGAGGCGAAAACAGGACAGAGTCGCCCCGGGGTAGCTTGATGCATCTGTGCGTCTGTGTGATGCCAGGATCCGGAAAAAAGAAGGGAACATTTGAGATGTCTGGGATTGCTTTGAGTCTAGACGGCTAGTGTGAGAATGTTTGGTGCGATGATTTTTGGTGCCTGAGGTGCAGCGCGGTCTGGTTTCTCAAAGTTGCAGGACACGCTCCGCCGTGTCGTTCTCAGCCAATGGCCAGAAGCTTCGTCAAGGTTTTAATTGTGGCCTCTACAAGCATCGGTTCCGTGTTTTGGTCATTCGGCGCTTTGGCTTTAGATAACCCGAACCGTACCAACGCAGCTCCTGGGCACTGCAGATGTTTAGCTGTGAGGCGCAAGCTCCTGATCTTGCGGCACATGGTGGCGCTGATCTACACCCCTGCGAACTTCGAAAAGAACAGTCGGGCGCAGTTCTTCCGCGACATGCATGCCGCGCGGGGAGAACGGTTTGCATGCTCGGCTCGGATAGGTCAATCGCCGGGTTGTATGTCTTGTGATCTACTGATATCTACTGGGTGGTTGTGGATGAGTCGACGGGCTTGCGAACCCTTTCAACAAAATGACATTAGCCATTAACAGTTTTCAATCGGAAGTGGTCATAAAGACCTGAAGTCTCTCAAATCACCAGTGCCACTACCACGACGGCGTGCCATTCGGGACTATGTGTCTGACTTTCGAGATCCTGATCCGATCCGTGGTTTCTAAGCCATGGCAAGATTCACCACCTAGTCAGAAATTGATGGAGCGATACGGAGACATGCAGTCTGCTGGCTCAGGACCATAGTGTCTTCCCCGCAACTTTCTGTTAGCAGCTTTGCAGAGAAAACTCCGTCAAATGCCAGGCTCGCAAAAATGCTCGCCCTGGACTTTCACATTTTGGTCAACACGGGTCACGGGTCGATATGGCATCGGTTCAGCGGGTAGTCCGGCTTCGTGGCAATTCCCATCCACCGTGTCGATGGAGCTCGATGGGGTTACTCAGGACCACGGTTTTCAGGCGGAGCCGGATCGATTTCGTCAGCCAGCAGCTGCCTTGGGCAACAATGGACCTCAAGTGGTTCATGGCATGGGCATGTTCGGTAACACGCACAAAAGCTTTGCAAAACAAGGACATCCCACCACCCACATGAAGTCCCCAGCTTTCCTTGCTGCATCTTTCCATCAGCACTTCCAGGTAAGCTCGAAATCAGCTATGCTCCCATAGTCATGACATGTGATGACACGTGATGTCCTCCGTGGTTGAAGATCCCTCTGAGCCAGACAGCCTGGAAGAGGCCGGTTGCATTTGTTTCGTGTGTTCTTTCGCTTGCAATGTGCTCGTCCGAAAACCACGAGTGAACCCCTCGCCTCAAGATTTGAACAGAGCAGAGACTCTCAACGCCCTCAACGGGAGGCTGCTTTGGACGTGCTTCACCTCCTCCCAAAGGGAAGGGCGGCCGTCCTGGGCGCAGAGGAGATCACGTACAACGGCCACATCAAACCGGAGGCTTGACGTGTCTGCTTTTCATAAACAAACTGGTTGATGGACAACAGCGATAAAATCAGGAATTCTGATTTTGTTGTTGGTGCAGGAGCTTTATCTACAGTTTGTTTGGGAAGTAAGGGGCTATAAGCGTTGCTGCATTCCTTCGTTTGTGTGGGCAGCCTCAAGCCAGAGGCCGGCGTCTGCTGGGTGTCCTTTCCCGGGAAGTTCAAGTCCGGCTGGGATGCCCTCGTGGCCGAAAAACATGGAGACAGCGTGGCCTGCGTGTTCCTGTGCCAGGCTGAGTTGGGTTTTGTTAGCAAAGCTATTCCTTGGCACCTGCTTCTTCTTCTCATGGGGATTGGTCATATAAGAGTCATATATGTGATGAGGTGGAAATCCCCAAGCTATTCCACTTTGCAAGACTTCAGGCCGCCCTGCAGGGTTTCTGGAATTGAGGTTCACGCCCGAAACCCCAAGCCGTGTTAAGGGCGGTTGGGGGGGGGGAAGGTGGTACTTCGAGCTCCCCAGAGCGCTTAGGCACCAGATGAGGAGAATGTGTACACCCTCCTTCGATCTCAAGAATCCCTGTAATCTCCACCTCGTTGCCATAGATGCCTCAGAAGGTTGGGAGTGCGCACACACACACAAATCGTAGTTTTGTATCCGCATTCCCTTCCCTCTGGGGACTTCCGCCCTCCCTTGCCCGAAACCAAATCCTCCCCTGGTTTCGTGCCACGCAACTCATGATTGAAACGTTGCTTGGGTGTCCGACTGGAGAGCACAACTGCCCGCCCCACGCCTCCACTGGAGGAGCCCTGAAGCTTGTTTCTACTCAGGTGTCGGTAGGGTTTGGGGAGGTGAGAAAGGTCCATTCCCTTGAGGCCGCCGATGGGCTGGGGCAGCACGAGAAGGATCCGGAGAGCAAGGATGGCCGTTGCTTCTGCTCACGTATCTACGGAGAACGCGACTACAAGACCTTTGGATACCTGCACGACATCAAGAAGCCCCGTTCAAAGTGCACGGAGAAAGAAATCGACATGATTTACCAGAAGGCCACAGCCATGAATGCCGCAGTGGTCTTTGCAGATGACAGCCCAGATGTGAAAGAGCAGCGGAAGCAAGTGGCTCAACAGCTCTGGGCAGACAGCAACAAGACTGCGGCATGGGGATGCCGTTGGTACGCTGTCTGGCTTGAGCGCGTTGAGGAAGCTGTGCGCCTAAAGCAGCGGTTGAAGGTCGTGTTCTTTCCCAACGAGGTGGAGAAGGGCTTGGTGCAGATGAAAGATTTGCCGTTGCTGTCTTCAAATCTCTGGGATGGAAAGGGCTGCGGCGGGTCGCAAAAGTGTGAGATAGCCACACTGAAGGCGGGATGTGTGGGGATGTGGGGGGGTGCCTGATTCCAGGGTTGTGGTCAAACCTTTGAGACTTCAGCTTCAGAGCAGCAAGCTCTTAAACACGTGTTGGTCCACAAAAGGGAAACGGTTTGCGTGCGCGTAGGACGGAAGCGCAAGTAGAGGATTTTTTTGCTTTTCTCGAGCATTGAGCATGACTGATTGCTGCTAAACGGAAAGTGGGGGAGTGGATCCCTAACTAATCCCTTTTCTTGTTTCCCAGATTCGCGCCCCCATCCCCCTAACGCACGGTACTGTGACTGACAAATTGACTTTCAGCAACTTCCTGAGGCCAAGGGCTGGGACTACGAGGGCGTTGATGTGAGTAGCTTCCTGAAAGCGCAGTTCAACAAGGGCGACATGGTTGAGGCTCTGGATGGCGCTTACTGGCGCAAGGGCCCCATCCTTGAGGTGAACGTGGAAGAAGTCAGGTGGAGAGTGAGATGCAACTTTTCCAGCAAGGAGTTCTGGACTGACCACGTGAGACCCAGCGAAGCTGATGATCTTCTGACACTGAGTCATTATTCAGATGAACTGTCCATGTGTTTTCCATAGCTCCAACTTGAGGAGGAGCAAGACGGGAATTACAAAGGATAGCAAAGGGGACGATTTTCAGGTTTCCAAAGACATATATCCATCTAACCGAACCCTCAAACACTAGTCACTAAACTACACGCCAGACACAAAGCACAGGATGCGCCACAAAGATCAGAATCCCCAATTCAAATCTCCAAACCATAAAATAAAGCCTCAGAATTCCAGGAAAGCCATCGGAGGGAGCACTCGAGAGCTGGAAGACGCTCTGCAAGCCTTCGACTTGAAAGTTGTGTGCTGCCGGGAGGCCCGGCTGCGAGATGGCAAGGCCGGGGGATGTAGGGGGATTTAGGTGGATGTAAGGGATTCCGGTTGAGGGTGTGGTGGCTTGGAAGTTTAGGCATGAGAGAGTTTAAGGATGATAGGGTTTAGGGGGCATTACGGTGTGTAGGGATGATAGGGTCTAGTTGTTTGTGTTTATGGGTTTGTCCTAAACCAGAATCCATACATGTAGGCCCTCAAAATTTCTTGGTACTGGCAAGGCCTCTGTGGGCATGAAAGTCGAGATCAACTCCATCAAGCAGGTGCACAAGCTGAGGGACAGCGTTCTCAGTGGAGATCTAGACAGGTGCTTAAACGCCGCAATTGCCAAGATGGACCCAAGTTGCCAAGAGCTAGTGGTGGAGAAGCGGGAGTTCTTCGACTTCTATGAGAGCACGATCCTGAGCTTCACGGAATTTACGCCGCACCAGTTGGAGAGGCTCACCTGATATCCGGCATAATTTTGTGTCATGGGCTGAGGCATGTCGAAGGTTTTACGATCACGTTCTTTGATTTGGCCCATGTTCTTTTAAGGGTCTTCATGTATTGTTTCGTTTTGGGGCTTGGCCTCATTGAGGAAGCTCAAAGAGATGGAGTCCGCGAATACCGACCTGCATCTGCAAGCCCCAGCCGGTGCTGGCAAGACATTTGTTGCGGTTCAATACATGAGTCGGATGATGCGGGTATCTCCAACGTCCACTCTTTGCTACGTTGCGCCCAACCGAGCCCTGGTTTTTTTCGTGCTGCGATGGCTAGTCCTGTTGGCGCCCTCCAAGATGTCCAGCATCTTGAGCAAGATCACGGTCATGCATGCACCTTATAAAGGCTTCTGGTACCCCATCGTTGACGGCCCTCGCATCTCTCTGAAACCTGTGAAGAAGCCTGAGATGTCCCTGCTGGTCATTGATGAGGCACACAAGGTCAGTGCTGAGCAAGCTTCAGTTTGGAAGCTCCCCGCGAAGCAGCGCCTAGTCCTGTCCGACCTATCTCAGTCGAGGAAGCTTCATCACCTCTTCCCGGACATACACAGGGTGCAACTGAGTGAAGTAATACGAGGCAGCCAAAGAATCACTGCGGCTGCCCGAACCTTCCAGCTGTCAGAGGCAGCGCGTTCCGTAGCTGCGGTAGGCACGGATGGCCCGCCGGTAAAAACATATATTTTCGAAGCTGGTAAGGGCACAGACCCACTGGATGAGTACATCTCACACACCATCAAAGCGCTGTGGTATGTTGTGGAGACGCTACCGTCAGGATTAAGCCTTCACGGCCGCGTGGCGCTGCTGGTGCCAGATGAAAGCTTCCGAAGAAAGCTTGAGGCGCCACTTCAAAAGCGGTTGGAAGAGGAGTTCAGCCCAAGGAACATTCGCCTGAAGTCTTTCCAAGATTTTTGGGAGCTGCTGCCTGCGCACCTGGTGCCATCGACCAACGTCGAAGGCTCACAAGAGTTCATCATCCTGGATTCCCGTGAGAATTCCATTGGATTGGAGCACCTGGTCGTGATCTGCGTGGGTATGGATGAAGTGGTCGGAGCTACCGACCAAGAGACGCGAGCGAGGCTGTACGTTGGCATCACCCGGGCGCAGCTCCTGGCCATAGTTGTGAACGAATTTCTGCCAGGCAGCTGGCTTGAGTTTGTGACGACCCTGCGGCTGAACAAGCGCTTCCAGAAGCGCCTGGCGTCTGCAGAGGTCCGCAAGCGCGCGGCCACGGAAGTCGTAACCCACTCCGTGCCAGGAGATACATCCATGCCAGGAGGCACATCGAAAGGAGGTCAAGAGGCTGGTTGGTTTGCGTGCGTCTGCATGCCTGGCTTGTGCTGTCTGACGCCGTGGTGGTCAAAGATAATCTCCCGGATCTGTGATGCGTCCCGGCTTTCACAGCAGCAGTGATGTGATGATGAATGCATTTTCCCCTTCTATGTGTGTTGGAGGTGCACAGGAGGGAGCAAGGGCATTCTCGCCTGCGTTTTGCTTGTCTTGTGTATCGAGGAACCCCATCCTGAAGTCACCTGGTTTTGCGGTGGAAGCCCATGTCCGTGTTCGTCATGGGTTACGATTTGTTCTTGTACCGATCCAACTTAGAACCTTCCTAATAATGGTATGGGTAGGGCCGTTGCATCATGTTTGTGTGACTCTAGTACCATCAACATCATTCTTTTGCCGTACAATATTCAGTTTTGACATGCTGAGGCTGTCTTGCCTGCGGCAGCCCCACAGCTTGCTGCCAAGGTAACTTGGCGTTGAGATGCGAAGCCTCTCAGATCTTGTCTTGTTGTCATCCAGACGCCTTTCTGCCAGCAGTCTCCGTCGCGTTTATTGCGCAGTGGTCGGGCCTGGGTTGCGATTTGTCCAGAGAGTGCATCCGAGTGAACGACTGAGTTGCCTGCAGTTGTGTCCATGCCGACGGGTCATGATTTAAAAGGTGTTCTGCATATCAGTCCATGCCACAGACAGCAGGAATCCCAAAACTAACGTAGCTCCACGTTTTGACAGGAGCAGTGCTTGCGCGGCACATGCGTCTGGGACACCGACGAGAACACGATCAGGACCAAGACGACGAAGCTCCTCTTCGACCCGCGTCTTTCAGCTGCTGAGGCAGACTGCCTTCCAGAGATGCGTGCCAGTTGGGAAGGGCACTTTTAAGGAAAACAGGCTTCAACCTTGAGCGTCATGTGGAACAGCGATGTTGATTTTCTCCTTTCAACTTGCGGGCCGCAGTGGCTTGGAGTTTTGCCGGGAGGTCTTGGCCTGGAAGCAACTCCAGCCCACAGGAAGGGCTCCAAGCGTGAGACGTGATCACTCAGCGATCTACGATCCCGAGAGCCACTCCATGGTGATATTTGGCGGTTTCGGCGACGGTCCGACCCCTCAGCTTGCTGATTGGTGGGGTCTTTAAGGCAGCTTTGCGTTGTCGGCTCCTCACCGTCAGCCAAGGCACAGGCGAAGTCTTTAGTTCTGGCCTCAGGACAGTTGACAGCTTTTCAGTTTTGGAGGCGCTTTGTGATTGTGGCCGCTTGCCTCAGTGCCCAACTTATTCTTGTTTGTTGCGGCTCGAGGCGATGTGTGGGCACTGGACTTGAAGGCAGCAGCTGAGAGAGGGCTCGCCAGTAGGCTGCGCGTTCTTTCAAACTGAGTGTCAAGTTAGGTACCGTTCCATCGTCGTTTTAATAAGGACGTGATGCCACGATTCCCAGATGTCCAGACCAGCAAAGGTATGATATTGCTCAATTCGTGGGCAGAGGGGGCTCTTGCCATGTCCTTCCAGTTCTCGGACTGTGTTTTGGTTGTGTGCAGTGTGGTGAAGTTTTGATGGGAGGTCATGGAGTGGAAGCAACTCCGGCCCACAGGATGGGCTCCAAGCGCGAGACGTGATCACTCAGCGATCTACGATCCCGAGAGCCACTCCATGGTGATATTTGGCGGTTCCGACGGTCCGACCTCTCAGCTTTCTGATTGGTGGGGTGTTGAAAGCAGCTCTGTGTTGTCGGCTCCTCACCGTCAGCCAAGGCCGCGTCAAATGCTTACGTTCTGGCCTCAGGAGAGCTGACAGCTTTTCAGTTTTGGAGGCGCTTGGTGATTGTGGCCGCTTGCCTCAGTGCCCAACTTATTCTTGTTTGTTGCGGCTCGAGGCGATGTGTGGGCACTGGACTTGAAGGCAGCAGCTGAAAGAGGGCTCGCCAGTAGGATAATGAAAGATCTGTATTCTGGAACTATTGCTTGACGCCATGCAGTTAGTTGCAGTTTTGCTGGGAGGTCATGGAGTGGAAGCAACTCCTGTGGGCTCCAAGCGAGAGAAGTGAGCACTCAGCGATCTACGATCTCGAGAGCCACTCCATGGTGATATTTGGCGGTTCCGACGGTCCGACCTCTCAGCTTGCTGATTGGTGGGGTGTTGAAAGCAGCTCTGTGTTGTCGGCTCCTCACCGTCAGCCAAGGCCGCGTCAAATGCTTACGTTCTGGCCTCAGGAGAGCTGACAGCTTTTCAGTTTTGGAGGCGCTTGGTGATTGTGGCCGCTTGCCTGAGTGCCCAACTTATTCTTGTTTGTTGCGGCTCGAGGCGCTGTGTGGGCACTGGACTTGAAGGCAGCAGCTGAAAGAGGGCTCGCCAGTAGGCTGCGCGTTCTTTCAAACTAAGTGTCACGTCACTTACCATTGTATCATCTTCATAGCCAGCAAAGGTATGACATTGCGCAATTCCTAGGCAGCGGGGCCTCCTGCCATGTCTTTGCATTCTTCCAATCCAGATAATGAAAGATCTGTATTCTGGAACTACTGTTTGATGCCATGCAGTTAGTTGCAGTTTTGCTGGGAGGTCATGGAGTGGAAGGAACTCCAGCCCACAGGAAGGGCTCCAGGCGCGAGAAGTGAGCACTCAGCGATCTACGATCCCGAGAGCCACTCCATGGTGATATTTGGCGGTTTCAGTCCGACCCCTCAGCTTGCTGATTGGTGGGGTCTTTAAGGCAGCTCTGCGTTGTCGGCTCCTCACCGTCAGCCAAGGCAAAGACAGATTCTCAAGTTCTGGCCTCAGGACAGCTGACAGCTTTTCAGTTTTGGAGGCGCTTTGTGATTGTGGCCGCTTGCCTCAGTGCCCAACTTATTCTTGTTTGTTGCGGCTCGAGGCGATGTGTGGGCACTGGACTTGAAGGCAGCAGCTGAAAGAGGGCTCGCCAGTAGGCTGCGCGTTCTTTCAAACTGAGTGTCAAGTTAGGTACCGTTCCATCGTCGTTTTAATAAGGACGTGATGCCACGATTCCCGGATGTCCAGACCAGCAAAGGTATGATATTGCTCAATTCGTGGGCAGAGGGGGCTCTTGCCATGTCCTTCCAGTTCTCGGACTGTGTTTTGGTTGTGTGCAGTGTGGTGAAGTTTTGATGGGAGGTCATGAAGTGGAAGCAACTCCAGCCAAAAGGAACGTCTCCAAGCGCGAGACATCTGCACTCAGCGATCTACGATCCCGAGAGCCACTCCATGGTGATATTTGGCGGTTCCGACGGTCCGACCTCTCAGCTTGCTGATTGGTGGGGTGTTGAAAGCAGCTCTGTGTTGTCGGCTCCTCAGCGTCAGCCAAGGCCGCGTCAAATGCTTACGTTCTGGCCTCAGGAGAGCTGACAGTTTTTCAGTTCTCGAGGAGCTTTGTGATTGTGTCCGCTTGCCTGTGTGCCCAACTTATTCTTGTTTTTTCCGGTTCGAGGCGATGTCTGGGCACTGGACCTCAAGGCAGCAACAGGGCGAGGGCAGCAGATGTTGGTGGTCAGTAGGCTTCACGTTTTCGTGTCGATTTAAGAAGTGACAAGGTATGTACCATCGCAACATCATCATGAGACAGGTGTGGTGCCATGATTCTCAGATGTCCAGACCAGCAAAGGTATGACATTGCCCAACTCGTTGGCAGGGGGGCCTCCTGCCATCTCTCTACATTCTTCCAATCCAGATAATGAAAGATCTGTATTCTGGAACTACTGTTTGATGCCATGCAGTGTGTTGCAGTTTTGCTGGGAGGTCATGGAGTGGAAGCAATTCCAGCCAAAAGGAGCGTCTCCAAGCGAGAGACATGCGCACTCAGCGATCTACGATCCCGAGAGCCACTCCATGGTGATATTTGGCGGTGCCGACCGTCCGACCCCTCAGCTTGCTGATGGGTGGGGTCTTGAAAGCAGCTCTGCGTTGTCGGCTCCTCACCGTCAGCCAAGGCAAAGACAGATTCTCAAGTTCTGGCCTCAGGACAGCTGACAGCTTTTCAGTTTTGGAGGCGCTTTGTGATTGTGACCGCTTGCCAGCGTGCCTTTGCGGCTCGAGGCGATGTGTGGGCATTGGAGCTGGAGGCATCTTTTTTGTTGCTTGGGGGATAAGCTACATTCCTAGTTTCAGCATGTTCTGCAGCTGCTGGACGAATCTTCGTGCTGTTGTGTGCTGCTTGGAAGGTCTGAGACACAAGGAGAGAGTGCATCGCTGGCTGGAACCTCGTGCTACTTTCACGGCCACCCATATCCGGTTAAGGATCCGAAAAACGGAGCTCCCCAAAAATTCGCTGACTTTGCAAATCTGGCAACCGAAACCCCAAACCCTAAACCCCAAACCCCAAGCCCTAAACCCAGAATCCTTAACCCCAGAACCCCTACACCCTAAACCCAAAACCCAGAACCCTAAACCCTCAACCCTGGGCTCAGCCTTTGAGGGTGCCATTTTTGGGATCCATAAGGCCGGGTGAGCATTGAAGCACGGTTTAGGGTTTGGGATTTAGGGGTTTAGGGTTTAGGGTTTAGGGTTTGGGATTTAGGGGTTCTGGTATCTTAGGGTTCTGGGTTGTTCACAGCTTGCGAGGTCTCGTTCCCAGCCTCGCGTCTGGCAATCGTCACAGGCCGGCAGGCAGCTGATGTGTGCAGCATGGAAAACTGAGATGATAATATCCCTCAGTGTAAAGTTACATCATACTGGCTCTAGGGGTATCTTTGTCTGACACTAAAGCTGTTGGATGACCTAAGATACCACAGTACTCAGGGTCATGCAGTATTGTTGGTATCATCAGCAAGGAATGTAGGAATGGATGCCTATAGTGGTTGAGATGACCCGGTTCCTCGTTAGTAACCTGAACCCTAAGTAGTAGTTTCCATTTTCTCTTCCAATATCCCCATATAACCCCTATATATACACACATACACCCATACATTCGTATCCTGAACCCTCGAAAACTTTAACATCTGTGCTGGTGCAACAGTGGTATACCCTCTGCGGCCCATCAAGTAAGATATTAAATGTGCACCGAGTGCCTCTAACTTCTGGGAGATGGGGCGAGGGCAACCCAGCATGACATCAGTAGGTTTAGAGTTTAGGGTTGAGGGTTTAGGGTTTAGGGTCCCCAGTAGTGAAGCTTACCATCATGATGGTACACATTGCTGCTATTGTCATCAGTGCCGTTCATGATCATGGTACTCTGTGTGCTCCTTGAACTTGTTCATCATCGCTATCAGTCTTCGAGCCTATTACGCCCATGAAGGCGCAAAACAATGCGCAAGGCTGAGCCTGACGACTTCGTACTCGGCTCCTTTAGAGGCAACACCTCCTTTCTGGACCTCTTGGAAGCCTGGACCTTGCCAGGTCACGGAGCAAGTGAGAGGCCAAGGTGCTTTATTTACAGTTGTGTTTAAGACTGTGTTTGCAGTTCAGATCATGCAAAGTCAGTTTCCAGAATGCCATAGCAGCCTTCTGCAAAGAAGATGGCCATCAGACGCCATGACAGAGGTCATGTGCTGCGTGCTGTTTAATTTGATGGTCGTCAAATCCTGCAAGTATAGGGTTGAGCCCAGTGTGTGCTTCACGAATGCTTTCAACAAAAGCCATTGTAAAGGGACATGGTTGGATGCAGCTCCAAGATCGCCAGGCCCACAGATGGCAGACTCTCAAACTTCGCTGCATCAGAGCGGTGAGAGCCGGGAGGCGCTTATTACAAGGCAAGACACACCTGCGGCTGATGATAGAAATCCTGCATTACCCGTATTATGGAATATACCATAATTCCCATAGTTTAGGGTCATTAAGGTAATGCAGAATTTATATCATCAATAGTGTTTGAGCAAGAGCAGCATTTGGCAGAGGCATTCTTTCCCACGTTTTTTCAGTGGATGGTTGCAGTCATGGCAGAGGCATAGTCGCAGCTTAACAGAAGAGCATGCCAGTTGTGAGCCGGAGAACCCGACCCGGAGAAGGTCAGGGCCTTAAATGAATGCCCTCACCTCATCTCCAGTACAAGGGAGATGAGCCGGCACGTAAAGTAGCTCGACCGTGATCGGAACTGTGCACATTATGCGACACCTACCTAACAGTCGTTGGTCACGGGCTTCCTTCTTGCTCACAATGCGGTGGTTTGGAACACGGGGTCTTGGTCTTGAGGGGTTCTTCATGATGCTTGGAGTCGGGCTGAGTCGGGCTTGATGGGCCCCGAGGAGGCCTGTAGTTCGTTTCGTTCCAGTGCGGATCCATACTCCTGAGATGCGAAGCAGTGTAAACGCCTGCGAGCACATATCCCCGAAGCTGTGGAGTTAGGTTCATGAGCAGATGCTGCTCGTCTTCTGGACCTGAGCGACATTCGCCGGAGAAGGGCAGGAATGCCATTGAAGGGAGGGCGTGGGTAGTCGAAGCTGGGCATCTTTCTTGAACAACCCGGGGGTCGCAGCACGCGTCCAAAGCAGTCTTAGACGAGTCTTAGATTCAGCGGTAGTGTGTACACATGTCATAAATGAATGTATACATGTATCATAGGTTTTCGAATATCTTGCTTGTACATATATATATATACATATATATATAATACACACATACAAAGACACATATACCTACTTCCGAGCCCCCGAGTCCTCCAAGTAGCGTGGAGGCTGGCAGATGTTGATGGCCCATGTCCCGAAAGCGTTACATCTAAAACCCTTCTTGATGCCTGCTTTTCGACGTCGAGCTCTGGTTTCAGGGATTTTGGCTTTAGGATGTGGGCTTGAGATGAGAGTTATTGTTGTAATCGCAAGTGTGTGTGTGTGTGTGTGTTGGTGTTTTGCTCTGATCAGTAGTCAGGTACAGCTGAGTATCATTGTGATCATCACCAACGTTCGTTACTCTTGCTGCGAATTCTGTTCCCGTTTGCCATTGATCGTTCTATGACTGTTGCGAGTGCCGCCAGCAGTACCAGTGCCATGACTATGATTTTTTCATATCTAACCTATTTCTACTACTGCCATCGTATAACCACTATCACTCCCAGTCACTACCACGACCACGTCGGCGACCTCGCGACGACCACGACCACACTCACCACCACAGCCACCACCACTGGGCAGGGGTGCCCCGCGGCACGAGGTCGGGTCAAGATGTTCGGCACTGGGATTTTTGGATTCGAAAGCTTCCAGAAGGAGATCCTCGCTTCGACAGCTGTGTTCTCTGACCGCAGCTCTTTGTGCAGACTTTCGGAAAAGGGAGGTGCGACCCTCAGCGGATAGGCAGACAGACAGATAGATAGATGGATAGGTAGACTGGAAAACATACATGGATAAATACCCCCTACACTCTACTTCCCAGAAGCCCTAAAGCAGAAGACCATAGACCCCAAACTCTAGATCGCAAATTCCGAGACCTAAACCCTAGACGGACGGGCTAAACACTTAGATGGACAGAGGGACGAGTTCACGTGAGTCGCTGTGTTGAACGTATGGTACCTTGTAGGAACCGAGGAAATGCCGAGTAGAGCTTTCGATTGCGATGCATGTTGCATCAGCAGCTGCAAAGATCATTCAATGTGGCTTCTTTGTAATCTAGATGTAAGATCCTGGGCTTGTTTCAGCCACGTGATCGTCTCCCATCACATGACCTTCGTCATGATTCTGTGTGCTTTGCTTGCATTCTGTGTGCCGCATTGCTCGCACCACAGCCGTTTGTCCGGCCAGACCGAAAGTACAGACCAAAAATCCGAAGTACTGGTCCCATGACTTCAGCAAGCACAAGGACTGACGCATAATCTTTGGACCTTCGATTCCCCCGCAGGTGTTATTCTAGCCATGTTTGTCGTCAACGGAACCATTGTCGCCGCAACTCCTACCGTGCCTGTCGTTATAGGCTTTGCGAATTGGGATCGTGGTGTGCTTCTGAAAGAACCCTACTCCAAAGCAACTTTCGTTTCCACCAGAGCCCAGCTAGTTCCACTCATGGGTGTCGGGAGCGTCAGGAACCGATGAGGCAGGCAGAACACGCGGATTGATACGTCTGGGGTTTAGAGCTCAGGAAACTGATGGTAAGGGTTTCAAGAGTATGACGATTCAGGGTCGGTTCTTTGACCCCAACCTCCAAACACCGGATCACTTTAACCGGTTCAGCTTGGAAGAAAGAGTAAGGCTTACCGAATGCTGGGGCTCCTTTTTCTATGATTTTTCAGGGTCCTTTGCAATGGAGATCCTACCGTTCAGCGCCCCATCTTGGGGTCTCCCATTCTGTAAGCTCTCCGTCTGTTTGGGGGTGAGAGTCTCACTTTCCCGCAGCCGACTTAACTGGGCGAAGGCTTCACCTTCGAATAGGTTTTGGGAGATCAGCCAAAAGCCCGAAGCCCTGAGCTCATGCCGTGGTGTGTTCGATTTCTCTGTGTGTCTGCACTTCTTCGTTTGGAGGGGGCGCCTTGCCTACACCCATTGATACCGCAATGTTCAAGGTCCGACGTAGCACCTGATGCAAGCTTTAGTGCAACTCAATATTGCAATGAGGTCGCATGATTTTAGACGCCTCTTGCCTACCACTAGCTGAAGCCCAAACCCCCTTTGGCCATGCCTTAGTCAGGCCTTCCACCCCGAAGCCTGCAATCCCAGGGCCTGCCTGTGGCTTGATGAGGTTTGCTTTTGGAATCATTCAGGGCTCCAGGGCTTTTGGCGTAGGCCTAGTGTAGGGGTTTGCTTAATCAAAAACAAAATCGCCGTATGATCCCTAATCCCTAGGTCCATAGAGCTTCCTGAGGACGAAGCACTGCAAAACAGGCATTCAACACAGCACAAAAAACTCTACGATATGTTCCGTCGCCCGGATTCTTGGAGTTCCTTGTCATGAATCCCCTTACTCCCCGTAAAAGCAGGTTGTTGTGGCTAAGTCTGTTCGGGGCCCCTCGGGGCTCGGGTGCCTGAGTTTCAGTTGTGAGGATGTCGGGCATCGGGCCAACAACGTTTGGGAGTTTAGGGTTTAGGGTTTAGGGAGTTTAGGTGGTTGAGAAGCTTCAATCTCGCAAGCTCAGACCCCGAAACCCTAGATCTTAAGCATTTTCTGACCGACTAGTCGAGACCATTGCAGACCACGCAAACGTGTGCTATGATTCGTCAATCTCCAATGCGAG